GGCCATTTCCAGTGTGAGGTTAACGGGACCCATTTGGTTGATCTTTGAGAACCGAGTGTGCTATGTGATTCAAGTGATGCATGGATCGGTTATGAATTTTATAAATAACGCGCCGAAGAGTAACCAATTGTTTTCGATGAGTGTTGTTCATGCTCGTCCAAATCCTATGATGGGCAAACATGTTTACTAAATGTTAGTCACGGACCGGGTTGAGGGTCACCAAAGGTGGATGGTACCGATGAATGGATTAAGGTGGTGTACACTTGGGAATGATTGGCATCCTGTCGGTTGAAACGACCTTTATCCGGTGAGGTCAAATGTAACAAATCATCATGTCCAGTCACATCAATCACGCCACGGATCAAAGCAGTAGAGGTGGTGACTGAAACCATCATGTGTAGGCATAATCATTCGGACCTATAGAGAGCAAATAACAATCGACTCCGTCATAACTAGTGTCCTCTGTTTGATGGAATAAGAGGTGGGGACGAATCGATACACACTACGCTGTATGACTTCCGGATATCTGCTCTAGCCCGTATCCACGAGTGGTGTACAATTGTACAATAAATGTTACTGATTCTTCCAAAATATCTGTCAGCCCGATTCGATTAACCAAACAGAAGGTAGTTTTGTTTATATTCCCACGGAAAGTTGTTACAGAAGTTGGGCTGTTGGCCATTGAACAATTGAGCGAGGCCCAATAACAGTTTCATACTGTCTTGCCCTCTCGTCCATGACCTCACATAAAGCTAAATTCCCGTCTGACTCAGTCTGAGATCCAGTTGGATAATTCCCTGCGATTTGAACACAACTTGTAATCTCTCAATTGGACATGAAACTTCCTGATCACCGGCTTGTAATGTTTGTGATAATCTAGTTGTTTCCTCGATTCCAGCCGTCGGATGATGACACTTATTCTGTGCACAGGCGAAGTTCACTGGATATCGTAAATACTCGAGACGATCAACTCCTTCTAGCTGATCTAGTGTCACGTCCTTTCGTTCAGCTGATGTAAGCGACCGATCGTGTTTTTTGGACGTGCAAAGGAGAATAAGTTATGAATCGTATGATGCTTAAACGTCGGCAAAGAATCAGTCATGGAGCGATGCACCATCCACTAAATTCGAAATGGAAAAGTTTCTACTTAACGTGACCGGAAAAATCTAGTTTTCGAGATCTCATGCCAGGACTTGGTTTGACCACCCAGCACGTTCTCTATCCATCTCTTCCCTCGGTAAGCATCACACACCACGGCAATCTACTCAGCGACCTGCATAAAACATGCCCCTAAAACAACCCGATCTACGTGCCCCAGCGACCGCAAATATTGCGCTTGTCTGGTTACTCCGCCAGATTCGCGCAGTAGTTTTCGAGTACGAATAGCCTTTGATCTTCTCACTTAGATTCGGAGTCCATTGGTGAAACGAGTTTGTACGTATGACAAGGGATTCCACGCCGTCCACGAATAAAATACAGTTACTCTTCGCCTGGGGAAAATTCTCGAGGTACAGCCGGACAGTTTGTTTCAAGCAGTGTGCTTTGTAACCAGTTGGGTATAGGGGATATATTTCTAGTTCTGGCGTTAATAGCACATCGAACTCGCAAGAGTACATTTTCAAAGATGAATCAATTCGAAGTGGTGATCATCTGTGTCCGGGGAATGAGTTACAACACCATCAAGTCTTAGTTGATCAAAGTGAGCAATTCAGTTGAGAGAATTTTAGAATCCTAGTTGGCAGCTTTGTTTAAATAGGTGGGAAGTGAAACTGTCGCATGTTATGAGAATTGCATGTACCTTGATGGAAAGGTTTCAATTTTTGCTGGACAATAAATGGAGTTGATCGGGTAGGTTTGGAAATTTGTTTATTGCCCCAGTCAAATAACATGCCTTATTCTACGGTGAGGTATTTTACGGTTCATCTTTCCAAATTCCTGAGATTGCCACTTCTCAAGACCGAACACCAGGTTCTGATAACTATATGGGGCTTGAATCCTATCACTGATTGCCAAATCGTGTTGTTGCGTATTGGGAGCACGGGTTAAACGATTCACCAAATTGATGAACGTGAAAAGAAAACTGTGTGCTTTCCCGCATAAAGAACCTTAAGGATGGTTAATCCGACAGAATTTATGCACTTATGAACGATCAGTAAGGCGGAGTTTGATAAACAATCATCAAAATGAATGGACGTAAACTAAAAGTCTACAGCCATTGTACCAAATTAGTTGATAAGTTGAAACGGACCACTGAATAGAAAAAAAACACGCATAAATATACGATGGCAGTGAATGTACCATCATCAAACTCATCAAATTATTGTAACTTTTACACGAGAATAGTGCACGGTTTTAATCGATTAAATGAGAGATTTTATCTTATCCATTGATTAGTATGCTTGCATTCTACCCGTGAGGTCCCGGGTTCGATTCTCTAGCCCTGCTGATGAGATGCAATCAGGTCGAGACTGGTACACAGTGCTTTCCCGCTTTTCAGTTCACGTTTCATTCGTTCTCTGCATGAATATCATTAGACACTTAGGCTTCACATAAAAATTTAACCCAGGTTTTCTTCAACAAGAAAGCAATGCAAATGGTGATATCCATTGTCACATGGACTAATTAGGAATTAGCGCCTGTGGACGTGCTTTGGATCAGCAGGTTTGGCATTCAAACCGCGCCAATGCAATCGAACTTCAGGTGTAGGCAGCACTGTTTTCGTTCAGCCTAATACGCCACTTGTCTCATGAATACCTATTTTTCCAAACGATGGTTTGTGATAAAAAATACCACAATTGTCAGTGCAAGAGGCATACATCTGACTGACAATACTCACAACGGGTGATTTCGTCAGTTACTTAAAGTGGCGGTTGATGATCTAACAGACCGAGCTGATATTGTTGTCGGGTTGGTCATTAGCATCAAAGGAACAATCCAAATTGTTCACCACGGCTGACCTATTCTATCCAAATGGGCTATTTCCCCCAAATGCAATAATCAATAAAAATAAACTGACCCAAGCGTGAGTGTTTTATTTCGGTGAAAGTATATGGTTTTCTCTTCGATCCTACTTTCTACCTTTCCTGTCTTTCTCCGAATGCTCATCCAACTGGGCAACCAAAACCGGCGCACGATAGTGCATGGTTGATGGTTGTACGAACTGAAACTGATATGGTTATCTGTGTTTTGTATGCAACAATCGGAGTGCGGTAGTGTGGAAAGAAATGGAACAATAAATACTTTGCACTCAGTCTGTGTTCGTTTTACACTTTCCAGTTGGAACACTGAGGAACGCCGGAGGCATCTGCGAAGTGGACTCGTGAAAGCAGAGGTAACAGAGCACATGCTTGAAATGGTTTGTAAGGCATGGAATATCCCTCAAAGTGGATGGGTCTATAGCTGGGTTAGACAAACGGATTCGTGGTTCGACGAAGATCTGTCTACTCGAAAACTCAACCGTGATGAGCACGGAAAGGTTTGGTATGGATGACAAATACAAACATTCAGTCGTTAAGTGTTTGTTTGAACGCTACAGATTGAGATGCATTGTGTGTGTGAGAAGTGTCAGTTCTGATATTTTGTGCCCACGCGACCAGAGTGTGATATGCAAAGGTTCCGGATGAAAACGCTCAACGCTTGCGTAGTGCCTACGTGATTTCCTGCGAAGGTGGTAGACGGTCAATCATCTAGTTTGCCTGCCTGTGTGTTGTTTGCTTGCCAACAAGGACCGAATTATTTGCGCAAAACAGCAGTTTGTAATGCAGCAAAATTTCCAACAAGGGGTTATCGATATAGCCACCGGACGGGAAACGACCATATCAATTTCAGAATAGAGATTGCAGCATAAGAAAGCGAATAAGTGGTAGTAGACGTTAAGCAATTATGCTTGTAACTGGGGATACAAACTGGATCGTGTCTGGTCCGAACCTATGCGACGCTCTGGAACCGAGAAGATGTAAATGCACGTGAATACATGGACGAAATCGCTTCTTGCTGAAAAAATAACATTTCTGAGGAAGTAATGAATCGTTAGTCAATAACGAGACGTTTGTGGTGAGTTCAATTATGATACGAACTTGTATGGACCGGTGGCAAGGAAGGGTAAGCCTAAGGCATCATGCCAAGGAGATCTATTTTCTTTTGGAGTTTATGTGTGACAAATTTCAAACGGAATCCATTGACTAACACAGTTAGATTGGCGAGTCACTAAATGTGCAGGAATCGGACTAGGCAGTCAGAAAAAGGACATTGTTTAGGTCAGTAAGAAAGCATCATCCAAAATACCAGTTATCATGGGCTAAAAATGAGAACGATTCGAAGTTGTTCGTTTTTTCCACTCTAAGTGGCCATTCAGTGCAGGGAATTGATGTGAAGAAAACTAAAGGATATGGCGTATAGTCAAAATCTGTGCATTTTCCCAAGGTACAACATCCTTCCCTCGCCCGCCCTTTCAAATCAGGAAAGATCACCAAATGAACAAACAAAAAATGGATTTGTTATCTCTTCCCCACCCCAGTCGAACTTCACTCTTTACTGTGCATTGTTCTATCATGACAGGTTAGCAATGAAGAATTATTTGGCCATTACATTACATTACTAGGTAGTATAGATAGACATGGTTAAGAGTGGATCGAAAGGAATTCAGCTCACTAGCAAACCTGCAACACTGTCTCCAATCAACCAATGACAGGGTCGTTTTCTTTCCATCCATGTGTCTAAGCATCACCACCTATGAAGAGGGGTCACAGTATGTGACAGACAAAAAATGCGCAACATGTGACCCGATCAACGATGTCAACTCATGCGAATCTCTTTCGGTAACAACAAATGTCGCTGACGGCATAGAAGAATGCTTCGGTGGGACAACAAAACACAACGGTTTTTTAGTGAGTCAATCAGCCTACGCCAGACATCAGAATGGATGCAAAACATAGTTAGAAAAGGCACATGCACAAACAACAGCAAGAACAAACAAGGACAACAACAACAACCGCACGTGATCACGGACCAGATTGAGAATACAATACCTTTTCAAACAGGATACAATTGCATTCGTACGCGGGAGTAGATTGGCCTGATCCAAACCATCGACATTCCATGAGAGCACGTTGAACAGTGTCTCGACCAGGGGGGGCTCGGTGGCATGGNTCCGTCAAATCAATATAACTGATGGTCATCGGTCTGCGATGCGGAGTGAATGGAGAGACAGAGAGAGAGATGAAAAGAAATCCAAGTAGTCATGGGAAAGAAACATTAAAGTTAGTATAGAAAATAGAGGATGAGTCGACTCGATCAGCGCGATCGATTTCACATGACTCCATACTTCCCAGATTCTCCTGCATGGCTAGACCCAGACCATTGTGCGGTGATAGAGAAGATATGTAAATCAATCTACTACAGAATAGCAACAAAGTCTCTCATCAACCCACATTACAATATGCCTGTAACATTATTCAATGCCACTCTGATATATGACTGTGAGAGGTCGAGGGGCGCAGTAATAGTCCTGTCATATTGTAAAAGTACACCCGCTAAAAAGCCGCAGTGGGTAAGGCCTCGTTCACGCTCCAAGAAGTGCTCTCTAACGGAATGGGTGTGTAATACAATCCATGTTTCTTTTCTTTTTAATTTTACTTCCTTTTATTGAATACACAATGATACAATTTTCAGGCAGGGAAAGCGGCCAATCAAAGGGGAAAGTTAGGCAGTGGTGCTGGGGTTCGAACGCAAGTCCTCCGCGGTGGTAATTTGGTGACTTTATCACCAGGCCATCACCGACCCTGGAGCACGACGATTTTGATTGCCTACAAGCCACAACTCACAAGATCGATAACGTTTGCAAAAGGGATTGCTATCAACCAGTGGAGACCCCCCCCTCCAGCATCAAAATAGAAAACTTTATGTTAACTTGTCTTTACCCTGGTAACCTACTCCCTTTATGTTTGTTTTATTATAGTTTACAGGCAACATTAGAATGACCTTGGAGACGGGGTGGGAGAGGAAGCTGGAACGAGATTGCTGGCATCGAATGTAATGCTTAGTCATTCGATCGCTTCACCGTTTCAAATCGCCTAGTCCCTCTGACCATCTTTTAGGTCGGATTGGATTTTTTCGCGTTTTGTTCAAATAGCAGTCTCTCCATCTGACACGGGACTGTATGAGCACCGGTAGTTGTTACCTGGTAACCAGCGCTTTGGTAATGGCGCTCTTGCTGTGCAACGATCAGAGTTGCCTGGGCATTCTAAAAACTCGAGGCGATCGGCTCGTGCTAATTGGGCGAGCATCAAGGCCCTTGTTACAGCTGATCCATCCGATCGATTGATCGTGTGTTTGTCAACCCGCATGGGAGAATAAATTATGAATCCTATTCTGCTTAGGCGTTGGCACAGAATCATCACTGGAGTTATAATTAAAATGCACCATTCAGTCAAAACATTGGGAGGCCTCGCGCCACGCAATCTGTTACGATAACACGACAACTATTGGGGTCCAATCTGGAGTCGTCCGCGACTTTTCGTTTGTTGTCGACTACCAGAGTTAAGACCCTACAGTCATCAATGTGGTTGTTACGATCGTTCGTGTACTTGTCGTCTGTGTTGGTCGACCAGTGTTTGGCAATGAGTGCAATATTCAATGTGAGCAAAAACCCTTTTATTTATGGCGAAGGATTTTAATAACAAGTGTGCGACCCGAATTCTGGTACCTAGGGTCAACGACGAAAGTGTTGATAAGCAAATTTTCGTCCAATGGAAGTATGCAGGGCAAAGAAACAGTACAGATACCCAAACTACTACTAGTTACCTCTGAAAACCTCTGTATGGTCGGAGGTGGGTGTCTATGATTGCGGATGGTCTCCCTTCTCTTGCACCTCATGAAATACTCCTACACAACCAAGCGTCTCAAATAGCTTCTGCTGAAAAAGCCCTATTCACTGCCTTCTCGTGGCGGAAGTGTTTCCCACCAAAGTGAGAGGACGAAAAGCAGATATCCGGGTCAGTGAACTACTGACAGTTCACCTAGGGGGAGTTGGCTCAAAACCCTGATTCTAAACCAACCAAGAGGCGTACGAACCACACACACGCACACACACCTTCCGGTCGTGACAGTGGTCACTGGTTCTATTGAGTACCTTGGACGTTTGACCCCGTCCAATGGGTGTATGATCCGATGAGCAGGAAACCGGCCCCCAATTGCGGTTCTCACACACCACCCGGTAGCCTTGCGGGCCAGGCTTTGGCTGGTCGAAGGCTATAGTTCTGAGCTCCCTAATAAAACTCACTTACAATTGCCCGGGCAACTCAGAAGTATCGTGCCCTCGACCGAATCATGGACCTTCCTTTTTATTAAAATTATTTTACCGCTGGTGACTGCTACTACTTAGACGTAAATTTTACTATCCTCCAGCACCTCGTTTATTCACTCTAAGCAAATCAGGGTTATCCACCGGAATCTTTCAAGTTGCTCCTCAATCATTCTCTGAACATTGCTGAACCATTGCTCTCGTTCAACTCTGCCCTATCTGTTGTGAACCTCTGTCCCGTCCAAATGAACGTTATTTTAGGTTTGGTTGTCTCGCGTAAACTATTTCCTTCAAAAATAGTTACGTTCAGAAAATGACCATTACAACAGATCCGAAAACAGGATACGTTAACCGTGCGAGAGCTGTGTATTGACAAAAGTAACACAAGGCGACGGAAAATGTGTTACTTCAAACGAGGGAAATGACTATTAGTTATAATTACTTTTCACTGAGTAATTCCTGTAGCTGTAACGATGAGGGGTGAACAAAAATTATGTTGATTATTTAATTAAAAAATTGATATATAAAGCGTTACTTCGAATAAGAGACACTTTGGTCGTCGAATATACCCAGAAATAGGGAAACCTGAGTGTCTCGGACATTGTCTGGTGCAATTTCGGTTACCACGTAATACAAACACAACTTTAACCGTTGAGTGACCTTCAAGAACGCGTCCTGTTCCTTTAAATATTCACGTACCTCAGTAATTTATCTGTTCCATCACCCACCGAACTTAATGAAATCACCGACGAAGTTTTTTTAAGTATTGCATAATAATTCAAAATACGGTCTGACTTCCCTTCTATCTCTTATAATAGTACTGCCATTCGGGACGCTTCTCCGCTATCGGAACCTAATTTCAAGCTGTCTAAATTTTTGTGGGCATTTGAACCATTTAGACGGTCATATTTCCGGTTTACTTAAAAAGGTTTCATTACTTGTCGTCATAACTTAGCCATCATCAGTCGCATTTCAATTGATCCTATGGACTCTGTCTTGACCAAAATATGGTGCACCACGCTGAACGTTCTGTTCACAAAATCCTCGCTGATCACGTTCATCCTTTTAATATCGACTGACCTGCCGGTCGCTCTAATACTTCAACTCTTTGACTCGTTCCGGCAAGCATTAACATGCATTGAAATCCTCCGGTTTCTTCCTGAGAAGGACAGTGTCAACTGAAATGCGATTGAATGAACTCTCAATCGGTATTTCACTGTGGTACTTCAATTTAACGCTAGGACGGAATCCCCATTTTTAGCGCAACCGTACAGTCTCCAAAGCTAAGGGAAACAACTGTCATTATTCCCCCTTATTGAGTCTGTCTGGCTTGGTTGAACCGTTCATTCCACCTGCAGTCGTCCCAGGTTCGCTGACTCACATATTCACTTCATCACACCTGTCTCACGTCGACTCATGTTCGGTCCAGTTTTATCAGCCTCAGCTGAATCGTGACCTCAGACCGATTGCCGTACAAGTGAAACTTAACTTGATCGTGTCGTGGTTACCTTCGGGTGAGAGCATCGATTCTCCTTACATTACTGGTCTCTCTTTTAGACGTTCTTTTGTGCGCATACAGGCAAATGGGCTTGCACACTGACATGTTAACCGTTCTACTCGGTCTTGACCGAAAACCCAGTGACAAAACCATTAAACCACTGTCCGCCTCCCGCAGTTATTTCCATTCCAATAGGTATCATCATTGTCATTTTCGAGAATCTGTCGAACGACCGGAGGAAAAGATGAAAATTCATTTGATCATCTAATTTGAAAGATTTTGTAGTGCATAGGGCAAACGAAGCACAAAGTGAAAATCTAGAAAGCAGTGCACAGCTGTTTCAGCTTAGTTGGATCCCATGGGCAGTGGGAATTCATCGACCCAACTGAGGATCAAACTCGAGACTTCTGAGCTACAACAGATCGAAACATGCGTCCGAAATAAACGGATTCTCACCACGGTGGTCCAAATATTCACTTCACTTTGATGAGGCAATGATGTGTCATTACTCATCTTCCTTCAAAACCGCGGTTTCCCGTGTTTCATCCATGTACTACGCTTACCCGAGACAGAGCCAATAAGAAAGACGTTCAACTCTCAATCCTCTCTTGTTTGGTGAACAGCTTGAAACGTGGATAAATTTCACCGAGAAGGACGTGGAGCTCCTGGGATTCCCATCGATCTAGGGGTCCGACAGCAGGAAACAATCTGCGATGAGTTGGCCTCAAGCAGCTGCTGCTGGAAAGCAATGATTTGAGGCATCCATGGAGCGGTTAAGTAATAGGATTAGGGTATTCGTAACGCCTAACTTGCTATCCAGTAAAATCTGAGACGGGTAGCGAATGAAGAAAGAATCAACTAGGCCGCTAGGTGATGTGGAAAGGTTGAGACTGGAGTCAGGTACAAAAGACAATAAAGAGGATATCCATTGAGAGTGTACAACTGTTTGCAGATGCATGCTGTTTATGACAGGGGGGGGGGGCTTCGGCAGTGCAAGAAGAACTGTGGTCACAATTGTTGTCGCGACTTTCTTATGCGAGTCTCACCGCATACGTTCACCTATGCCTCATCAAAACATTTGCTAAAACGGAACAGCTGGAGCGTTCGATTCGGCAAGCGGGCAGTTCAACTATTCCATAATTGAGTGGTTTGCTGCCCCCGTTCGGATTGGCTACTGTGTATTTCAGATGACATACGCAGCATCAGACTGATAAATCGGAAGTACACGGAAGATGGGACCCAGTTGCATTTATGCGTATCATGAACTAGGGGTGTCAATGGACTAGCATACAACTAGTGATCGTTGTCCAATCAATACAATAGAAGGAAATATTAATTGCATACTAGAAGAAATAGAAATAGTTGAACTGAAAAATGTTTGGGAAATTACTTGAAATAAAAGCAAAAATGTTGTGTGTTCAACTGCTAATCTCATTCCTACCCGAACGATATAAAACACAGAACATAAGACTACGCGCGGAATTTGGTTAAATTTGCGTTTTGAGTGATTCGTTTCTCGGTTCTTGATTTATAATAGCAACCGAGGTTGATTTTGATCGTGGTCTAAACGGCGACCAAACACACCATAAATGATTATCTTCAGATCGTCGATAATCCCGTTCACTTTTCTCGTGCAAAATAGACAATCTCAATTGGTGGTTTCAGACGTTCCTCACGAGTGTCGTCCACCGCCATGACTACTCGGGACACGAATCAATGGAACGTTTTTCAGTCTACCTGCGGGCTGTTGTGATGGTCAGTGCGCAGTGTCCAACCTTTATGGACTGTAATAAGCAGTCCCATATCGATCGACAGTTCGTTCACCGAATTCCTCTCTCCTGCTCGTGACATGTGCACACGCACGAGGGAGGACACACGCACGCGCTGATTCCCTATCTTCACTGTCAATCAAGGTTTGCTCAGCTCCTTGCAATCGACAAGCCGTTGATAAAGCACTGTCCTGGATTGTTTGCGACCGGCGATAGTCGACTGGGTTTAGTAATTTATACTTTCTCATTGGCTGAATTCAGATTCAATTTTTTTATTATGGGTAAATTACAAAGCTGATGGTTATTGAAGCACACCGGACCTGTACACACACACTGGGTTCGGGAATATGGATGAATAACAAGCATTGTGGTGTACTGATTTTTCAGCACCCGATGGAATGGACATTTCGGTTGGGGTGGCAACCATGTGTGTGTGCGTGTGCACGCTCGCTATACAACACAATGCACTGTGCATATTCCCTTCTATCTTTCTTTTCCCAAAATCCAAATCGGAGTACTATTTGAGTAAAAAACATCACACGCATTTAGTTTATACATTTCAACATCAGACCGGTCAATTTTATGCTCCCAAAACAAGTGTACCGTTCGCACCGATTCACCCGAATGCTGCAGAGGTTACGTCCGGCAATAGATGTTCTGTATGTTTTTTCAAGTTCTTTGCCACTGGCATTTTAAGGACACATGATTGAGCGAGTCAATAGGTGTGGGCAGGGATTAGTTCCGATACGGTCTGGCTGCGAACTTATTCGCGGTCAATCGACGCGCAACGAAACTCATCAGATTATGAATAATCGGTCCTCTGTATGGAACTGCTCAGTTATTAAGTCAAGGTGTGCTTTACTAACAGCAGAATGTGAGTTGTGAGGATGGCGTGCATACTGACAGCACAATTTGTCACCTGACAAAAATTATCAAAAAGAAGAAAAAGTAGGAGTACATCAGCATGTTGTTCCCCGACTCACGTGTCTACTATGGGACAGAGAAAATCATTGTACGCTTTAGATTTGATGAGGAGAAATACTGGGCGAAGAGTGTAAATAATCATAGAACTGTTCAATACGCCCCAACTGACTACTGTATAAAAACCGTTGCGGTACAGTACTTTGATAGGTATATTACACAAACAATCCGATCCTCAGGTGATTCAATTAAAAGAAAATGAGAGCTTTCAAACGCGATGGAAACATTTGTGATAATCATCAAAGAGCACTGGACTGCTGTTTCATCCTGTTTGGGACTCGTCAGCAGTGCGTCCTTTTTGTGTCCCTATCCGGACTCGAACCGCGAACAGTCGGATCGGGACTTACAACCTTTACCCCTGAGCTACACGGTCAACGGTCATCACCTTGTGCGAATAACTCAATCAATTTGGAGAATCAAAAAGTATGCATTGCTGACGAATCTCAAACAGGATGAAACAGTTATCCAGTGCTCTTTGTCCAAGATCATCAAGAGTGCTTGGTGCCTTTGAACAATCAAATGGGCTAATCCAGGCTTGACACTCTAAAGTGAGAACCTCATTGAAATTCGACCTCGGTTAAACCATGGGGCCGACAACATTGTATGCTTTAACAACTGTGCGTCAAGGTCACATCAGAAATTGTGGGTTTTTTCCCAATAAAAAACCTAGTGAACCCAAGGAGTAACATGGACATACCGAGTAGTAAATTACTGACAGTTTTATCCTTAAATCGATCAGCATCTACCGAATGAATTACAGAAATCAGGGATTTGTTCAAATTGCATCGTTTGGTACTTCCAGGGAGCGTTTGAACGTAATTTTCAGTGGTAACGGTCAGTAGAAAAGCTACCTGGTGCGTCATTATGCCTCCGGAAGTTGGATGAGTTACGAAATATGAACACATCAGAACTGTAGTCACGAAATCACAGCTCCGTGTGCGCTGTACGAAGATGCAGTCAGTACCCACGCATGAGTTCGAATCGAACCGAGGCTATTGGTTTTTACAAAAAAGTAGAGTGCGTGAAAAATTCCCCCTAAATCTATCAAGCAATAATACTGGGAGATAGTTTTGAAAAATGTCGTAAATATTCCGACAATTTCCGATGTGATGGAAAATTATCATAAACGAATCCAATGTGAAAAGGGGGTAAAGGGAATAGTGCACAAGTCTGATCAGATTGGGGGAAGAGCACTGTAATGTAAGGTAGTAATGTAGTAGGCAGTAATGTAAAGTAGTAGGAAAGTGGCTGATCCCGATGGCTATCTTACGCGATTGCTCGATATTTGAAGAGGCCCTTTACAGGAGAAAGAAATACCTCGGAAATACCCCGGAAAGAAATCCTAGCGATACGATATTTTACGAAATCAAAATGAAATAGAATCATTGAGGAGCTGATCAGAACCTGGTGTTAAGGAACGAAAACGGTTCCCGGTAAAGTTAGTTGGGTGGATTGTGAAAGGCTTCAATGATCACTAGACCACAGGACTAGATGACTACAGCGAACAGCTGTGTTAGTGCGCCTATTCACTATTCCCTTTGGTATGCACATTTTTCATACACCGAACAGTGGTTTAACAAATTGAGAAGAATGGAAGCCAGTAGTGAGTGGTTTCCCAGTAAATGCTAAGTGGAGTCTTTCTCGGTGAAGTGCACCATTTATGATATAGCATAAATTTTCTACACAGATTCGACACAAATTGCACCGTGCTGTTCAAAATTTATGTGCAAATTGTCACCAAACATCAAATGAACTCGTTGAACAGGAGGGAGATATGATAAAGGGTCTGCAAAACTACTGATGGACAACAGGTTTGACCAGAAAACAAATAATTGAGAAAGATACGGAACAGGTTAGAAACACTTACTGTTCTGTTGTCTCTGATCGTTCGGACAAGTAGTCGGCAACAGATTTCTGAAGCAGAAGTGAAACAAAAAGCATACCGAGAAGGAGGAAACGTAACGAATTTGTGTGTAAGAAGCCAATATTGATGCGCGGTGAATAGTCACAACGAGTTACGGTCAGGAATTGTTCAACAAATACCTACAATGTGGCCTTGACCAATTTTCTCATCCGGTTAGAGTGGTGACCTACAATTCCGGCTCCGCATATAATTCCACATGAAAGTCTACGGAATCCTCATTTCTGCAATACAAATCGACTTTGATCGGAAATTCAAACAAATCACATTTTTGTATCGTCAAGAGATAAAAGTATTTTAGTCTCTCTCTCCCTCTCTCCTTCATTCTCATCATTTAATAAGGTTTAGTTACGATATAAACGTATTTAAAAAATAACTAGAACGATATCGCATCCTTGACCATCACATTTGAGTTCGTAGAAACGCCAAATTTGCTGGGACAAAACTGAGAAACATACACAGGAGACACGGGTGAACATCGGACATTGAGCGTGTATGGGTGGATAAGCACTTGAGGTAAACCCCGTTCGTGCATTCGATCCTACGTATCGGTTATTTCGAGCGAGTTCTGAGGACTAATCTATTCGGCGTACCGGAACACCTATTGGTCGGGGGTGGGTGTCTTCGTTTGTGGCTGGTAATCCTTCCTTTGCACCTCGTGAAATGCTACGGCCAAATATCTCAAATAGCTTCTGCTGAAAAAGCCCTATTCACTGCCTGTTCGTGGCAGAGATGCATCCCACCAAAGTGAGAGGACGAAAAGCCGGGCTGGTGCATCAAACCTTGATTCCAAACCAACCAAGAAGAGACGTACGAATCACACACACACACACACACACACACACACACACATTCCCGATTGTAGCAATGGTCACCGACCTCAATGGGGCATCGAAGTGTAAGGGGTATCTTGGACGTTTTACCCCGTCCATATGATCGGATGTACTGGACACCGGCCCCCAATGAATGGCGATCTTCCCATACCGCCCCGATGCCTTGTGGGTCAGGCTTTGGCTAGGCGAAGGCTCCGGTTGTGAATTCCATATGAAAATTCACTTGCATTGGTCTGGGCAACCTGGCAGTATCGCGCCCCCGAGTAAATCATGGACCTTTTCCTTTTCTATAAAGAATATTGTACCGTGATTTGTTTGGCACACAGTCCGAACTGAGATGTGTGCGATTTACAATATACGTATTGTGGTTTATTTTCTAAATACGGTACTATCTTTCTACCATCAGAAAGTACAACTGGACGATTGCTTTTCACATGAGGTCAACTTTGTGTCCACGCGATGAAAAAGGAAACTAATATTTTCATCACTGACGGTTTATTCGTTGCTCACAAGCAGAGTTTTGTTCGAATTGTTACACTAAACACTGCACAATATATGTAACACTTTGAAAAAAGAAAACTGCTATCGCCTTAAATCATTTTCAGTATTGACAACAGGATGAAAGCCGGTTGCTCTTGTTCAGATTTCCGGTTTTATTTCCACTGTTCAATGAATTTAGGAATGCGCTTGAAAAACTTAACTTACAGGTTTGCAAATGCAATAACATGATCTGAAGGGGAAAATCTACCAACCGAGTTATATAACAAAAAAAATAAGATATCCTAGAATATGCTTACAAAAAGCAAATTACTGTAGGGAATCAGTTGTCGAGCTGATACGAAGCTACCGTGCAAACAGACTTTTTCGATATCCGTCTGGAGGGAAGAGTGGGTTGTAACGCGGTACTACGCACAGCATAGATTGAGTTCATTGGTTGTTGTTTACATCGCAGTCCAAACCCACAACGGTCAGAAAACCTTTCCAACGTGTACGAGAACATCGATGGGATTAACATCGTGGATCTAGTTTCAACCGTATGACAAGAACAATAACGTGACACACACAACAGACACAATAACTTGAAGAACACCGATTGCGACCGGAAGGGATTTATCTTTGTTCTGGAATATCAACCAAATTCCTCAGTCTATGGATTCGTGGTTAAGGGTAGCCGGAGGGAATGACACCGGATTGGCCGAGAACAAGACAGAAAGTAGTGGAAGACTTAATCCGATTATGCAGAAGATCTAATCGTGTCCAATGGACACAGCTTGAAATGAAAAGCTAGGAAGTTCTGTAGACCGGATTGGATCTCATCCGTAGTGCGAATCTATCGATTCAGTTGAAGATCGGAAAACGGGACCTCACAGGTAGAATGTAAGTGTACCACTCGTTTGACTACCGGATGGGAGCTGTAGCAAAAGACCGCAACGATTAGCCAGATGAATCTCCCGGTCTTTAGTCAGGGGTTCCCAGTCTGCCTAAAGAAATCCAACGGTCTACACACATCTGATGCATTTGTTTATGCCACGGATTTGCCAACTATCACGAAGTGAAGAAATTTTGCAATTATTTTGAAACGAATTTGACTGACGAAAATAAAATTCCAACACCACAAGGGTGGTTGGAGATAACCGAATCTCGATCATAAACCAATTCGCACCTATGGTGGTTATTCCTTCTAATCTATTCGTACACCTTTATCATCATCGTCATCATCATCAAACAAAAGAATACATTGAAGCGAACATCACTAATCGCTGCCAAACTCAATGAATACAACGTATGTGAGAAAGTGTGCGGTGGATAGTAATTAGGCTTATTTTGCAGAACGAAGGATGAGAAAATCGAACCTCCAAACTTTCAAAACAGAGACTACGCAGTCTAACTGTATTTACAAACTTCTTCTGGTCAGGTAAAAAGATGACAAGAACGTCAATGCTATTGGTTAGTTGCCATATCTTTCAGTGTTTCCAACCGACCAGTAAAGGAGTCTTTTGGACCCCAGTCTGGAACACGGAAGACACCTGCTATACCCGACAGCTCTGTGAATTTCCTCCGGCATCGACTCCACGTCACCCGTTGACGTGCACATGGTTTTCTCCAGCCTGGAGCCGCAAATCTAAATAAGGAGCGGTACGTTAGGCGACCACTAGACACACAAAATCTGTCCCTTTACTAGGCGAAGCCTTTTGAGTTGAATTCGAACCGATAGCGAATTCTTCCCCAAAACGTTGCCAAGAACATGAATACCTATACGTAGACTACTAACCCGCTTACTAGATCCCATCTGGGCCAGACTACGTAAACATCGATTATCGAAAACTCCCGGGTGATAGATATCTTCGACTAGCGAATTCAAGGTCTCACAAACACTAAGCAGAGCTGACCGAACAGGGACGCAGTATACGTGATTTTTCAACTTCAACGAAACTTGACGTCGTTGCCACAGGTGCTTCAGTCTTACGTAGGTTGTCCAGCCTTGGAAATGCGTGCTGTGATCCTCTGTATCGCACTACCGTTACTGGGCAAGCAGATACCCATGAAGGAGAAGCAGTCAATTATAGACAATTTCTGATCACCTCATATTTAAACAGGGCTAGACGACATCCAATCTGGCACCTGCACTTTGCATTTGTTAGAAACACTGAGTGAAAAAACTGGTTCTTGTAAACGGTAGTCAGGTTCAGTTTTTACAACCAATTACCCTGCACTTTCGTGCGCCGGTGTTGGTTGCTATCATTTGGTATCCCACTTGGATAAAAGAGCAGAATGGAGATTGGAACGTTGAAAGCAAATTCAAGCGAAAGATAGAGAATTCGTATTTGTATTTGTATAGGCTTTTGCGAGAACAGAATATTCGCGTTTCAGTCAAAAATTTACACATCTCATCAATAGAAGAAAAATACAAGTAAAATATTTAACCTTTAAGGTTACTGAGAAATTTTGAAGAAGCGCGCTCTCGGTTTACAAGGATTCTGGCAAGATAGCGAACTGGGGAATTTCTGTAGAAATTAATGCCAGAGGGTAACAATCCATAAGAAGAACGTGTAGACGTATGAGAGCAGCATTTAGATAAATCGCCATGTAAAGAATGATTGGAGTCCGAGAGGATTTTCAGAGCAAGTGTTTCACATGCGGACAAATGAAGTTTACACAGTTTTTTAGATAGCTTATCAACGGGTACAAAAGATATAGAATAGTGATAGAGGAATAATGAGTGGATGCAAGAACGCCACGGTTTTTGACACCCAGGCATATCACTCAGTGTAGCTAACCATCGGTGACAATCATCCCGAGGTCCCCAGTCAGGGAGCCTAACGGGCCTATGCGACCTAGTCTCCTGGTTAGGGTTTTCATACCCTTATGCCAGGTCTTAGTTTGACCACCCTTGATCTATTTACATCCGCTACCAACCTTGGCAAACATCAGTCGCCTTGGCAACCGATCTAGTAACATGCGTAACAAATGACCCAACAAACGTAAACGCCAGCACTCAAACTATCCAGAAAAGCTTGCAACTTAATTGGATCTCCACTTAGTAGCACAATATTATCTGCATATTCTAGATCAGACAGTCTGCCACCGGGAAGTAAATCGGTACCGCTATCCTCGTACCAGGATAGAACTGTTTCAGGAATTGAATCTATCACGAAGTTAAACAGAAACGCAGAGAGAGGGCAACCCTGACGAACACCACTTTCCGTGGTGAACTCGGGTGAAAAAGTACCGTAAGCCCGGACTCGACTTCGGCTGTTGGTATAAAGCGATCGTAATATTAGAGTTAAATCCTCCGGCAAACTTTCAGAGAAAGGCAGCGCCAGAGTTTAGAGCGGGCGACTGAGTCGAAAGCCGCTTTCAGGAAGACAGAGACGGTTTGTCTACGAAAGGAATGTCGATGCTCCAGAGTTTGGCGCCCAGTGAAGATGTGGTTGATACAACCTCGACCGGTTCAAAAACCAGCCTGGTTCTACCGCGTGCAATCTTCACCTGCGGAAGACAATCGACGGAGTATGATATCAGCGAGAAGTTTAAAATCAATGTTGATTAAACTAATTCCTCTATGGTTTTCACAGGAGGATGTCACCTTTCTTGTAATTCGGTATGATCACCGATTGACATCATTCAATTGGAACCTCTTCCTTCTCCCACAATGAGCCCAGGAGTTTTGTTAACTTCAAAACCAAGGCTGAGCCTCCATTCTTAAAAACGGATGGGGACAGCCCGTCGGGGCCGGAAGCCTTATGCCTTTTGAGGTAACTTATTTCCCGGGTAACCTCCATTTCAGATGGAGCAATATTTGCACAGTTGAACCGGGTGGGGGAAGGTCTTGTGTCGAAGGGAACCAGCTGAATTATGCCTTAAAATGTTCTGCCCAACGTTCAAGACGACGTTCCTGAATTTGAATCAGTATGCCGTCAGAATCCCTAATTACCTCACTTACGCCTGCTTTCATAATTAAACGAAAAAGACTGCACCTATTACCAATAGTCGCAGCCTTCTCCGTCTCGCTACACTTTCCTACCCACCACTTCTCGCGATCATTCCTCAGACTCCTGATTAGCTGACGTTTAAGGGATTTGTGCGTTTTGTCGAATTTTGAATCCGAAGGAATGGCTGTACGAGCGTCCAGCAGGACAACCGAGGTTGCGAAGATCCATCGTTTTTGCTTTGATCGTGCGCCAGAGTTCGCCGTTGTTTTTATCGACGTTTGGATCGCTTCCTTGAATGCCGACCAGTGTTCACTGAGTCCTCAAGATGATGAGGCCGACTTGCAACTATCGGCGATACTGTATTGTGGGCATCCGTTTTCGGCGGTTGTTTATCAGGTGTAGGAAAAATCTCGCTCGTTGCAGAGCACGGGTCGTGTCTATGGGTGTTAACCAGTAGGAGCGGCGGACTTCATTGGATCCTCTGCAGCGGTGGCTGATGGCGATGTGGTCGACTTGAGTCCAGCGCTGTGAAGAAGTTAGCGGTCTCCATGTAAGGAGGTGGCGCTTTTTGTGGGAGAAGTTCGTGCTTGACAGAAACAGTCCGCGGTCAGCACAAAGTTGGAGTAGACGTTCTCCCCGTTGTCAGTCCTGTTGGTTGGGATTGCATGCGAACCGCCAAATAACCTCTCTGATTCGTCCAGGGATCCCACTTGAGCATTGAAATCTCCAGCGACTACCACACCAATGCTCGAGAAAATATCGACTCCATTTCTGGGCGAATTTAGTTTACGTTTACTCTGCGTCGCTACTCTGCCAATGCTCCTAGTATATAATTCTTCCAATTACTCTTCATCCAAATAAGCAACCAAAACCGCCAAGCGAAAGTGCAAGGCCAATGTCTGGACAAATCGAAGCTGATTCAGCGAAAACCCCACCTTGGCACAGAGGACTATTCGGATGCGTAGAAATCTGCTGAATACAACCGTTTGGTATCTAACAGGCTTCAGCCTATCGAAGAAAGTACCAAACCACCAGTGGTAACCAATGATGTGTGTGTGATAACCTATTTTGTTACCAAATCTTAGAATTCTCGATTTGGTAATTCAAATGATAGGTCTCGTAGATCTGTAACAGTTATTAGTTAACAGTTTCAATTATTACTACAATGGAAGAAAAAGACAGTTCTTGGAAATAGAAAGCCTTTAGCGCAGAACGATAGATTGATCAACTGTACAAGCAGCTCCGTTTGTACAATCATTAATCATTAGGTTTCGTCCGCCATCACGGCGAAACTGTAAGTTGACGTGATTAGACGAGGAAGCTACACAGGATTACTGCTCACAGCCGCAGATCCAACCATGCCTGAAAGGTCAATGGGCAGAGACCAGACAAAGCTCAATCTCATGAAGCTAGATGCTTGGGCACCTCCTGAATTCTTCCTGAATTCCTCTTTCACTATCGTTTCTAAGATGACTCCAGCAAATAAACACGATGAGGGACAGTTCACCGGTCAAAAACCCCGCTAGATGGACATAGGAGCGGGGTACCTGGGGCTACCTCCTGACGGTGGGAGAAGTCTTCCCATTTCATTGGATAGCTACCGTCCGCCCAAGCTTGTCAGCCCCCAGTCATTAAGATGCTGTCCCGGCCGCGTCAAGCTGATCTCATTGGGTGCATGAGATAAAGGGCGAATTCTGAACAGGGGGATGACAATCAACACACCAGCGAATAATATTCTGAAGCGAAACCCTGAGGCTTTGGGTCGCAAGGTTCTAGAAGTTCCCACACGCATGTTTCGATCACGCTCCCGTTTTGGGTCTACGACCCACTGCTTTGTGGGTCAGACATTCGAGGATGCCCTCCTGTTTATGCATCAACAATTCATCTCTCAAATTCAACGTGGAAAACCGCAGGCACAGCATATACGCTCAGAAAGTGAATAAACTGAGACCAACTCACCTCCAGATCCCAGTCTCGATCTTGCAAATAAACCATCGCCAGCGCATTGTTTGTCGAGGTGATCTCGGCAAATCGGGAACACAATTCCAAATAGTTGCGTCTCGGAGGTGAACTGGGACTGGCAGAACGCTTCCGTTTCGGCATGCCAGTCGGGATAGGCTGTAACGCACGTATGCGCGCGCAAAACGAAAGATATTGCATTCGATCAGTACTTGGACAAAAGCCACAATGGTGAAACGGATCGACAGAGAGACCAAACAAAGAACAACAGAACATACCAACAGAAAGAAAAACACCCCGTATTTGTCAGCGAAATCCAAGCGCAAGAAAGAATCGTAAAGGACAAATGCACATTTGTGCGTATGCAAAAAGAAACACCTCAGATGGGATAAAGTGAGAGACGGAGGGAGAGAGCGTGAAAAATTGGCTATTCAGCGATCAACACCCGACAAGAAATAGCACAACTAATGGCCTTTTGCGATGAAGAACAGCTGAACACAATAAAACCTATCCGTAAGAAGTCTACCAAGACATGCCGAAAAATTTGCATGATTCCCTGATAAGAAAATTGGGCGGGTTTGGGCAGATTATTCTACGACGTAAAGTGAACAAAATTCATGAATTATAAAATCCCAATAAGTTTGTCGTAAATTTTCTTCAATATATCAGAGTGGAAACAAAGGTCCGTGTTTGAGATAAAGAGAAAATGTAAATTTCGTTGAAGGAAACACGTAGGAGAAGTCCGAAAGAACGACTTGTGCACCAAGCTATCTGACATAAGTGAAATTATGCGTCGCTGTCTCATCCCAGTGCGACGAAATAGATTGTCTATTCTAGAGCATGACTTGATCTGCCTTCACCAGTTACACAGATTTTTCGGAATTTCGTATGTAACACAGATCGGGCTGGTCCATTCTGAGTGATAATAATTGTTGCTCATTGATTTTTTTTAAAATCGTACATCTTTTTTGTGATGAACACCAGGAGTGGTGGACCCCGCGAGCACAAGAACCCAGCATTCCAGTTCGGGAACTCGTAAACCAAGTCCCAAACAGTTTAGGCATGGTATGGGCTCAGACGACAGAGAAACTCTGTTTTAAACCTCACTTAACTCATCTGCCTCCTGATTTTTGTCAGTTCCGTCTCGAACAAGTTTGTACTGCACTACTCATATTTGTGTGTAGACGAGAAGCCATATTCAAAAGTCCTTCACTAATCAAATCAGCAAGATCTTTATGCGCTCTGGCGGACGAGTTTTTATTGTATGATTCAAAGATTATCGTGGAGTGAGAAAGCGATTAAAATGTCTAAACAAAGAAACGCCAGAAATAACGTAAAATGCATATCTTGGGTTTGACATTAGATCTGGGGATAGTACTCTCATTTGATGGAGGTGGATAAAGAGGTCCGAGAGACCAGTGAATAGGGAGCGATCACATTCCAGAGATAGGTCGAAGAGTTTCATTGTGCAAACAGTGGTGAAATTAGACAGGCATACCCAACAGACTACCTACCATAGACGGGCACCTAGGCAGCTAGAGGTCACGTGGCGGACACGACACGGATGAAGTGTTGGCACGCATACAAAAGGCTCGGTTAGCATGTGCCAACTTGAAACATCTGTGGTGCCGTCGCGATACCGATTGTCTGTAAAGGGTTGAGTATAGGTTGCAGCAATTCGACCAGTCCTGTTCTAGGGTGCAGAAACTTGACCATTACGGAAACAGGATACAGATAGACTGGCCGTGTTCGATCACCGCTGTCTACGCCGCATCGCATGAGTCTGGTGGGGAAACCAGACAAGCAATGCTGAGGTTCGGCGTACAGTTTTAGGTAATCGCGGTAGTCCATTGGAGCCAGTAGTTAGCTGGGGCATGTGCTGCGCATGTCAACAAATATAGTGCCAGTGCGCGTGCTCTTTGTCGAGGTAGGTGTTGGGTGGAGAAAAGGTCAAGGGTGGTCAAACTCAGACCTGGTATAAGGATAAGAAAACCCTAACTAGGAGATTTATTCACATAAGACGCGTTAGGTTCCCTGGATGGGGATCCCGGGATCATTTTAACCGGTGGTTAGAGACGCTGAACGTCGCAAACATTGTGTGTTGTGCATCTGCACATTATCCCTGCGACCCGAATCCATGAG